ACGTAACTTTCCGCCTATCGGTCGTAAGACGGACGGAGCAGGCCATAATGCTTCGGTCTGATGGGGAGAGAGATCTAGCCGGGGTTCTACGGCCACTGTGTCGATGTTGTCGAGTTCAGCTGGGACATCTACTTCTATGAATTTACCAGGCCAAATAGTGGTAGCAGTATTCGATCTTAAAACAGAAGCTTGAGTGCGTCGTACCGATGGACTTGACTTTGGAGAAGAGGAACCGTATGGATAAATATGGCCACCAATAAGTACGTGTTGCTTGGAAGGTCGCACGGCTACATCGTTGACAGACATGAAAGGGGTTCCTCCAAGTAGTTCCACATCCATAGAGGACACGACTAATGCGGTGAATGATAAGATATGATCGTCTCTTGTCAACTCAAAGCGAGTTTCTCCGACAACGTTTAACAATGTTCGGCCATCAGCCTGAGTAGCGTATTGTGTACTTTTAGTAACAGGAATGCCCAACTGGAGAGCGAGAGGATGACTTATCATATTCGTTTCGGAACCAGAGTCGACGGTTATGCGGATGGCATGGTGGTCGTAGAATGCATCAAGATAGGGAGACTGATCGACTTGGACTCTTCGTGATGAAACCGACAAAGTTGGCGTATCAGCATTATTGGCATCTGAAATGATATCAGTGTTCTCATCATCGTCAGAATCGACGATAACCTGCCTGGCTCGTGACATAAACTTTCTGTCGCTCTCGGGCAAATATGGACATAGACTGAGGTAATGGTCAGTGGAACCTCGGTTGGATTGTAAGCATAGAGGACACATTGTAGGCGATCTTTTTGTAACACGTTGTGGCTTTAAGGTTTGTGGCCTGGGCCTTGGCGGGGGGTTATGCAGTCTGGAGTCTGGGCGAAACGGTGGTCGGGAACCCATACGCATGCAACGAACCTCTTCAGCAGTTTCCACCTCTTCTAAAAGGGATGACAAGGCCATTGATATCTCTGGTTTAAGTGACGCGATAGTACATGTACGTAATTGGATTCCATACCGTTGCTTAACGAGCTTGGGCAAACCGGGGTGGATTAAACGAAGCCATAATACTGTTATCAGATTTTCTAAGGATGGAGACATTTCCTCCTCGGTAACTTGAGTTCCATAGTGTGTAAGACCGCATCCGACAGTTAATAGATTGTCATCAACGAAGGCGATCAGCCTCTGAAATAAGTCTTCTGGTTTTTCATCCATTTCTAGTTTCATATCACAGATGTCAAGGAACTGTGCCCCACTATTCTGAAATCCATAGTGAGCACGGATTGATTGCCAAACAGAGCTTATACTCACAGACTTGTGAATAATGGTGTTGCGGGCTATCACCGGGCAAAAATTGGCGATTTGACCCAACATGAGCTCTAAAAAAACCACCTTTTGTGCTGCAGTCTTCCCACGTTCGTCGGTAAAGCCTCGATTTGGGTTATCCCTGCTTTTCTTAGACCATACAATATCGGGAGCGAAGAATGGGGCGAAGTTGTCATCTAGAGATAAAATGTATGTAAGGTTCTGTTTCCAGGCCTCGAACGAGGTGATAGTTTCATCTTTTGTCAAAACACGCTGCTTTGGGGCGCGAGTTGAAGCCATTGATTGATAAATTGATGGGGGTTCGTCTTAAAAATAAAAATTATATGGCGCGCTTCTACGCGAGCCAACAGAAATCTATTTACAGTACACTGTAACCTGCCTGTTGAATGATATTTCTTGTTTGCCGAGTCCTGCAGTTCACGGAGACGTAAGGAATAAATCCACAATCAGCCACCACGACAGTTTAGTGGGGAGTACTACAGGGACAAACACAGACAGCGACAACTGTTGATAACTTTAATTGACGTGCCACCATTACAATAACATAATAGATAACCCGGATGTCTCGTATCACGAGAACTAACAATGAACGAAGGGACCTGTAACCTACAGGGACTTGTAACATATATAATTAACTATAATGGCGCTGTAGTAGAGACAAGTAAAACAAAATTTTGAACTATAAAAAATGAAACGAAATAGGAACTGTCTTATAAACAGATTGAAAAATACCCTGTAGATTGAATGCTGATCAGGCAATGTCTTTAAATGAATTAATCCTCATAAAATAATTAACATTATATCGAGTCATTCAGTTAAAATGCTGATGGGTATATTGAAGATATACATATACTAATGCACATAAAGTTTAATATCAGATATCATATTAAACCGGCAATCTGTTTGGTGGTTACGTAACTCATTATTGTCTACAAAACTTATAAATTATCCTCCTAAAACTGACAATAATACAAATCAAAATAATTTTGATTATTTTCCATGTCGTCGCATTCCATCTACAATTATTATTACATGTATTTATTTTAATTAAGGCACCTAACAAATTTGGATAACAAAAACCATAAAACATTCTTTGAGAATTTGCCTGTCTTCATTAGCCAAGTCGCTGCAGAAAAGTAGGATGCTAAACCCCATTTCATTTCTTGGAGAATTTATTCAAATGACATCTGCAATTCAAATTGATCATGGAATGGTTATATTTCTAATTTTGTCATAATTTTGTTTCCAGGTCACAGTCCCCAGAAAATGGAAAAAATATTTATGAAACCAAAATCAACTTATATTTAAAACAATAACTGATAAAATGATAAATTACCCTGATATGCCTTTACTATAACATCATAAACTGTAAAATATTACAACCATGTACTGAGTACAAATTGTTATAACTAAACACTGTATGGGGAAAATTTGTCCCCAATAAATATCAAGGGTTACAATTGTTAAGCTAAGGTACTAGTACATAAAAATGATCAAGAAAAACGTTGCAGAATTATCTGTAATACAAAAAGAACACTAAATTTGATAAAAATAAAATAAAAATGTTCCTTAAAATGTACAATTTAAGATTTGATTTATAAAATATATCATAATTATAATGTCAACAAACAATAACATTTGATTATTTTTCATTTTAAAATTGATAACAAAAACAGTTACTCCCTAAAAATGTACAAATTTCAAAAGATTTCAGTTTAAAAACATATTCTTATGGCAACTAACAACAATATTCAATTAATTTAAAATATCACACTCTAAGAACTGTACCCCTGCTAAATATAAATATCAAGCTTATAAGAAATTTGAAGAATTACTAATACATAATTACTGGTACTAAATGTCAAAATTTAAACAGCACAACATGCCAGATCAAATGTCAAATGTCAAGACTGTTTATATTATGTAATTAAGCACATCCATGAATAAAAAGTTAGAAGACATACACAGATCACTGTGTGAAATCAATAGGAACCAATGTAACAGTTAAATGACCATAACTTAAATTATAATTGATTGATTGAAATAAGTTATACTATTTGATTAGGTATGGTCTTATTCTCAATATTCTGGCATGTTGGGACTTTAATTCTAAAATATTCAAATATGAAGATAATGAGCCACCTGGCACAAACAATACTAAATACAAATCCAGGTGCCTGTCTATTGTCTAGCACAGTTTTATCTTTTTTCTACATTTTGGTTATATTTTTTTAAAATACATTTCTAACAATAAGTTTAAAATATCAGGTAAGCTTTAAGTTCAATTTTTAACAGAAACATTGTTCAAGGACTAAAAAATTAAATTGGCTTTATATATAAGTACTAAATATCTGTTACTCACATTTCTGAACAAACACACAGCATTGAAATGGATATACTGGTACTCAAATTCAAAATTTGCTAAAACATGGAATTTTTTTTTATAAAAAATCTACAAATCATTAAAAATTTACAGGTAAAATGATATCACTTCAAATGGTGAACTCACCACAAATATCTTTCTATTCAAGTTTCAAACCAACTATCACAATGTAAGAAAAATATGACACTAGATCTTTAAGATGGCTATATTTTTATATACCAAATAAAAAATAATTTCTTCAAACATACGTTATTTATTTACATAAGACTAAAACCACACTAAATATCTTTTAAAAATACAGGAATTCATTACCATTTAATTATAAATCGAAAAATAAACAATTGCTGAAAAACTGCATAAAATGGTATATTAAAAAGACATTATGCCAGATTTAGAGAATGAGTTGTACGCTTCTGCTACAATAGTTCAAAAATAGATAATGAAAAATGAATATATTGAAAATTTTAGTCAAATTATTTATTCATAGGGAAGTTATGAATGGCTACTTTTTTTTATCAGGTTTCTTCCATACACAGCAGAGGCAATTAAATTTGTATTACTGTTTATCCACAAAGGACTTTTAATATATAAGAATAGAAAGCCTATCTATAACAAGCCTATTATAGGTGACGTTATGCAATTTTCGAAATTTGTTAGTTTGGAAGGGAGGGTCATATCATATGACACGCATTGTCTAATTCACTCAATATCCAAGCCACCTGATGATCTAGAGTGTTGTAATGGCCTTGTCATATGCATAAATATCTAATTAATAAACTAAAAAAAAAACCTCAAGCCAGCAAAATGCACCGAAATTTAGCTCTTGAAATAATGCCTCTTTAAACATTGCTTATGGTATCCAGCTATATATGTTTATTTCAATTACCAGCAATATATAGCTAATAAACAAGTACCACCATACTATAGACCCTGAACTGAGTATCATGTCATAGTAGCCATCTTGTATTTGTGGTGTCATAACAAAATCGGTGTCTGTCAATCGATGCACAATTGTCCAAACAACAATGCATGCCTAGTTTCATAAATGTCCATCATACTGGAATTGACAAAGTTTTCAGCTTTTTTTGAAAAGAATCGCACCTAGAACAACATCAAGGAGAAGAAGAAGGAGATGATCACCATGTGTATGTTGCCTAGTAACCAGTTCCTGGTTACAGTATATATATGTTATTTTAAATCAAAGGGGCAAAGACAATAGGTATGAAAGATTTTAAATAGGAAAAAAAAACAACTATCACAGATACTATAAATATTATCTCCAAAATCACCATAAATTATGGTACAATACTAAAACTACTGCCATTTCTGGACCCTTTCTTTAAACTATATGTCATGCTAAATAATAACTGTCTCGCCATTCACATAGAAAATTCCCTTTTTGTTATAACAATTTACAGAGTAACATGATACTCCCTACAAAATACATGTGTACGGTGTATCAAGCTCTGGAGGTACTTTAAAATACACATGTACTATAACAAGCTCTGCTGGAGTATTCTTTAAAATACACAGGTACTATAACAAGCTCTGCTGGAGCGTTCTTTAAAATACACATGTACTATCTGGAGCATTCTTTAAAATACATAGGGACTGTAACAAGATCAAAGATCCCTGACTCCATTACACTGGAACTATAACAAGATCAAAGATCCATTAACATGAAGCTCCCTTAAAAACCATCATAGAACAAAATGTAATTAAAAAACCTTCAAAACAAGTTTTCAACATTTCATCACATAACCTTTCAATGCAAGATATTCCTTAGCGATGACCTTCAAATCTTAAACTCATAACAACCACATCATATCTAGTAGTGAGTGACCTTTAAATCTCACGTCATCTACAGCCATTACATATCTAAATTGACGAAATCCACACAACTGACCTTGAAGATATCCCAGACCAATGTGCTGCCAGGCACATCGCACAAACCTACTACTATGACCTTACAATGTTACTAATTAACTGTCACACCGACCAATGAAATGGCTTCAAACATCCGTCAAACCTTCTCTAAACCCTGACAAACAACAGACGCGAACAAGTGGACTCGGTCTGACAGCAGTAAAAATTCTACATAAAACCAACGCCAACAAAACACAGAGGTCAAAGTTGAGTGTACAAATGAGTCTGATATAAATCTGCATCCACTGGTGGAGTTAACGTAGCTACTGCTTGCTGATTGGCTAAATTTGAAAAACATCCATAAATAGTTTCACGCATTTCTGCTTTAAGAGATTTTACTATGTCATATTTGAGATAATCCACATCTTGCTGTGACAGACCTGCGCTGAAAGAGGCCATATTGTTGGGACTGGAACGACTGTGAGGAATATGTGGACTTGCGTTTGGTGAGGCGGAGTGTAACATGTGCAACATGTCTTTACGTACTCCATCAAAATTAATGGCCGACTGTAAATTCAATGCTTCCTTTTTCCTATCCTCACGTAATTCGTACCTGCATTTACAAAAAAAAAAAAAAAAAAAAAAATGCATTAAGTAACAAAACAATATTTAATGGGGTGAGGGGTAAACTCCACTTGACAGAATTACAGATCTACTATGGTCCTAATGATGAATGTAAAAAATTACAAATCCAAGTAAATGCTCAAAGATCCACTGTAACCTCAACGATACATTTAAACAAACACAGATCCCCTATGGCCCCAAGGATGAATTTGGATAATCAAAATCCACTATGGCCCCCCCGAATGTATGTAAATAATCAAAGATCCACTATGGCCCCCAGGATGTATGTAAATAATCACAGAACCACTATGGCCCCAAGGATGTAAGTAAATAATCACAGATCCGTTGTGGTTCCAAATATGTATGTAAATAATTACAGATCCACTGTGGCCCCCAAGGATGTGATGTAAATAACTGTCTCACCGTAGACTGGATATATCTTGTTTTATTTCCAACAAATCATCCTCATTGACGCCATCTTGTCTCCCTTCTTTTTTATATTGATGAATACATCTACTAACCAGACGACGCATCACTTCCTGTAACAAAAACAAAATCTCCATAATAAACTAACAATTTAATAGAATCTAACGCATGGTTCAATCTTATTTCAATAATTAATGAGCGCATTGGGGTCTTTAGCAGTGGGAGGGGACCAGGAGAAAACCCATGTGTTTGGACGGATGACTCTATTCCTTGTCACATACAAGCAGCGAATAGAAACCACACCACTTTACTCAACTACAGACCTTAAGATCCAACGCGCATGCTTTTAACCATTTGACCACCCTACCCCCATCAATCCTCTTGATGCATTACAGAGATGATTTTGGGTATATCTTAATGTTATAAACTATTTGATTGATAATGAAAGGGGCCTTGGGGGCGGCGATTGTCACATGGTAACTGGATTCTTGGCTCAATATTTTTTAAAGATTAGCTTGCATTAATTTCGAGCACTTTTCTGATCATAACATTCAAAAAGAATTTTCAGGGTTTGAATCCTAACTTAGGCCAAGAATCTTTGTGATTATTCAAGCAAAGCAGTCATTAATATTGAGGCCTGCTCAACTATAATTTTCAGTAATCTTTTAGAGGCATTTACTTATGGAAAAACAGTTAAAAATTTATTTGGTTGACGTTTCGAAGAGTATTCTCTCAATGTTATCAAGCTAATTTTCAGCTTGCGAATCCTAAGCCAAGAAGAATCTGAAGATTTTTCATTAATTTCGAGGACTGGTCAACTTTCAGAATTCAGGAAATTTCCTGCTTTTAATCTGGAATGTTATAAAAAAATGTTATAACGTAGAATTACTTGTCTACATTGGCTTATTAAGACAGGTTAATTTGCTCGCAGGTCATTTCCGTGTCTTAAGACAAGTTGATAACGTCTGTAGTTATATTGATATTAGAGATCGTCGTTTCTAGCTCTAATTGAGATGCAAAGCCATGAATTCATTAAGATTAATCTTCGATTTGACCAGTGGGTCATGTTAAATATCTTCTCTGTAAACAAATTTGTACAAGTTTTTTTCAAATAATTTGTTTGATTTCGCTACTAATTCAATAAAGTCTAGCCTAGTGATGGTAAAACTACATATGGTCATGGATCAAAATCTAATGCAATCAAAATTAAAACGAAAGTGGAACAGACCATATAATACAACATCTGTTTAAAGATGCATTATGTAAGGAGCATGGCCCTGTATTATAAGGTCTATGGTAAGAGCTTAATCAGCGGGGTGGGGGTGGGGGTGGGGGATGTCCTAGTGGTCTAGAGTGTCGCGCTTCGAGCTATAGTTGGCCTGTCACTTCTGGCTTATTGTCTACGATATCACCCTAGTTACAATAGGCTTATTGTCTATGATATCACCCTTAGTGGAAGTGGGCGTAAAACTCCACGAACGAATAGGCTTCAATTACAAGCCTATTGAAGGGGCTAACAGTATGGGGAATAACTCCGAAAACTGTTGAAAATCAATGACAGACAAACAATATAGATTTCAAAAAGATCGGATCAGTGAAGCCTTTATGAAGGCAACAAGTTATTTTGATAATTGTTGAAAATAAGACTTTTTAATTTTAGTGATATAACCCCAAAGAATGACTAACGGACAGACAGACTGGGTGGCAGCAATATATGAAATGGTGTTTAATGGCACATCAACAGTTGATGATCAAAGACGGACAAATGGATGGAGGAGTGGACGGACAGACAAGGTGGCAGTAATAAATGAATGGTGTTTAATGGCACATCAACCCCAACCGGGCTATATGGCGCAAAGCATATGGTGATAAATGTGAGACAGGCTAATTCATATCACAAAATAATATAAATGTATATTCAAAATATTTAAAAATTATCAAAAATCACTAATAAATATTCAACAGATCACATTCTATTAAGCATACGGTAATTAAAAGATAATAAATATGACTAAAATATAATTATTTACAATTAAAATTTATAACAATGTATCGTTCACATCAAAATGCAGGAGTATAAATATAAGTTAACCAAATCAAAAGTTTAACAAAAGTAAAATTTATGTTATATAAAAAGAGATAATTAAAAAAAACATGCATTAAAAAGTGTGTGATTTTTGCTAGTTAATAATCGTTTATGCACCTCGGTGTGTGTTTATATATTCAGCTAGATCTGGAGGCTAAAATATTTTAAGAATACAGGCTATTTATTGGCTGATTGCTAAAATTCTGGCACAAATTTTAGCTATCAGCCAATGAACAGGCATAATTCTTAAAATGTTTTAGTTTAGTTTTTTCATAAATAATAAGGGCATTAGGCTATATATCTCTTTTAGAAATTCAGAAGACATTTGAAATCAAAAATTCTAATCTGTGCATTAAAGGAGTTAACCCTCTTTTATTTTTTTAGGTCAAACTACATCAACTGTTCTGTAACATGTTAATTCATAATTGGTTTTTCAAAAACTAATCATGAAGCTGACAATGACTTCTGCTGACCCATTACCAGAACTAAAAAAGTCTGCCCAGCCAAATTTTGAAACAGACACCCTCCCCGTGTCCACTAGTACCCAGTTAACGATCCATTATGCAAGAGCTAAATCTGCCAATTGCAGGTTTTTATTTTGGCCTGAAATGTTATATAAATTATTATATAGACATTAATTCACATGACAAGCCTTAAGCTCTTTATCTAAATCTTACATAATGCATCTTTAAGAAGAAATAATAATTATAGATGGTGCAGTTTTAAACATGCAAATAATAAAAAAAAGGTTTCTGTGATAAAGTTTGGACATGGGGCGCAAATAAACAAAGCATTTCCTGGCAATGTTGATAAATGGCTTTTAAATTTAATCATTTACAATTATTAAGACCCTTTCACTGCAGCCTAAATTGTCCTAAATATTAGTTTGGAAGGGAGCCATGGTGACTTGAAGAGAATATTGCGTGCATTCAGGGGCTAATTAGACCTTAGCAGTCCCAAAATGGCATCTACAGCATTTCAAATTTCCCAATTTTCTGGATGTCTAATCTACTTCTATTGTATAGGGTGCCATTACAAAATCAATCCCCACCCCACCCCCCTTCATATGTGATAAATATGAATACAGAAGCGAGAGAGAGAGAGAGAGAAATGGGGTTTAACATCCACTCGACACAAACTAGGTCATTTTGGGACTAACACATGGTTCAATTTTATTTCAATAATTCGCTTGCGCGTAGGGGTCTTTAGCAGTGGGAGGAAACCGGAGGGCCCGGAGAAAACCCACGAGGTTGGACAGGCGACCCTACTCCTTGCCACGTACAACCGGGGAATCGAAACCCCACCAGTTGACTCAATGACTGTATGATACAGCGCGTGCGAATACAGAAGCAAATTGACTAAAAAAAAAGAGGGTAAATAATAAAACTAGAGATCTACAGAGATAAAGCGATCACCCACCTGTGTGCGGGATTCTACAGTAGGCCAAACATTCTCCTGTTCTGATAAAATACTTAGGAACATCTTACCAGCCTGGAAATAAGTGTCTACTATAAATTCTAACACCCCCTCTAATTTAAGTATCGACTCTTCCAAAAGTTACTTTTACAGTATGTTTATACAATGATGGAAGAGTCTATTATTTAAAAAAAGGAATAATAAAATAAGTTAGACACTTGTATTTCCAGGCAGGTTACAATTTGTTCTTCTCTCAAAGTAAGTGTGCTACAGCAACCTTAGTACAAAAACCAAAAACTAAGGCCATACAAATTTAAACTTTTGTTCTTTTGGGAACATCTTTTAAATTTTGCTACTTCTCAAAAGCCTTTATTCTATACATCTTTAAGCTTAGAAATTTTAAACCCAAAATAATGTCCACAGGACAGGGCTTTAAACAAGGTTAAATTCTCGTGTCCGCCCGTGAGCACCGGCCCCGTCGGAGGTGCGAAGTTTACATAGGAGTTTATGTGGCTATACAAGACTTTTTTGGCATGAAAACTCAGCCCTAGGAAGATAATACACCACTTTTGTTACGATAATATTTAAATTATAATTCAAATTCTATCATCACATCAACATTAAAACTCATATTATATAAGTAACACGGGTACAAAATAAAATAAAAATCGGATTATTGTCTTTTAAAGTCTCTTGTATCGTCTTTAGGAGCGAACCACACCCCTTGGGACTGGAGTTCGTCTTCTTTCTCTTCTTCATTTTCACTTTGGTCCGTTACCCTTGCTCAGCCCTGGAGGGGAGTTTTTTCAGGAAAACCCCAATGTCGCTTGCCAATAAAATTCTTTAGGCGGTGGTGGGTCAAGCTCCAATTTCCTATCCATATTTCAATACTTAAAGGTTATATGGCTCTATTTTTTGGGATCATAGATGGGTCTAAAAGCACATATTAATGTAATATTAGTGTATATTAAGTGATTTATATTCAATTTAAAAAAAAAAAAATCTAATTTCTAATCAATTATTTTCGGTGAAATACGTGAACAGTCAAAACTGAATGACAGTCGTTTACACCTGCTTAGTGCATTCTAAACGTTTTTTTATTATTACTTTATCATTTGTGAATCAGCCATTACTATTTACTGTCACATTGTAATTTAGGCCATGTTTTTCTTTGTTCATTGATTTTGCGCCCGAAACGATATGGTACACTGCATTAAATATTGGATATTAGGATCCCACATTAACACTGCAACATAACAACATCAATATGGATTGAAATGGACCAATATTAAATTCTTATTTGTGATTTTAATTTCGACTATACCAAATTTAATACCGAAAATTTGTGAAAATTATGTCAAAGTAAAACTGAAATGACAATCAAGGACACAGCAGATCAGATACCAAGCTTACTGAAAAACCTGACAGGTGAGCTGATGCGGCTAGTGCTCCCTCGACTCGTCCAAGTGTGTCGATCGGGCGCCAGCTGATCTGATCTGTACAACTGACCAAAAACACTCATTAGGGATTAGGAGGCATTGCTACCTTACACTTTTTCAGAGCACTACACCATTTTTTTCAGAGCACGGTTTCCTTATTTTCGAAGCACAGGTTTTTCATTTCGAAGCAAGTTCGTGTTCTAAGGCACATTATTTTATGCCCTGCCACAGGACTTTAATGGTTATCATTTTACCTAGGTCCAGAAAAACTAAAATTGAACTTTGGCCGAAATGCTTGATGTTTATGAGTTAGTCAAATAATCCCAGCAACTTAAAAAAACAAAACTCTGACCAACACTTGATTGGTAGTTAGTTTGACTGACAGCCAATAGAAATTCAATGGGTGTATTGATTCACTGAGTAAGTTTTATCTAAATATAACTACATCAATGACCCCAAAATTCCAATTAATTGTGATGAAGTGTAACATGAAGCCTAATTCCCATTAATATCATCACTGATACGGTTAATGAGAGTTTTTCTCTTCAAGTAATCGTGCTGATATAAATATCCGCCAACACACGATATATTACATTATATTGATCCTCATGCGGAGATTTATAACCTCGAGTCCGTCAGAATGGCTGACCCCCAGCATCGAGAGATCAAACCAATATTGATCAACCTAATATCCTGACAATTATCAGCACATTAACAAGACTAATTAATCTAGACTATTATAGGACCTGTTAACCATGGCTACTCACTCCCTTCCATCAGGTGCCCACCAACATTTATTACAAAACTAATTAATCTAGACTATTATTATAGGACCTGTTATTCAAGACTACTCATCACCTCATCAGTACACATGATTCTGTCTTTGAATTAAACAAACAGGATAACCAATATTGGTTTTTATGGTTTTTCTTAAATTAACAGAAAATAATGTTTCTTCTAGCTTTTAGTTTGGCTTGTGAACCTGGAGGTACTGTGTTCAATCCCTGCATTGATCTATTGGGATGGGATGAAAAACTGAGGTCAAGTTTACACATTGACATGCACATAAATGATCCCTTGGCAGTTGGAATTTGATATAAGAGTAGGCTGTAGTGCCACTGTCCATGCAAAATTTCCCTCATAGCACACTGTATGAAGTATGCAGGTGTTTTCAATAGCCCAATCGGTGCAGAACAGTAGGACGTTATACCATATTTCATTTCATTTCCATTGAAAAATCAATCTGTGAATCAGATGTTTGAGAAATATTATAAACAATAGTGTTATAATGGCCTAATTAAGTGAATCTGAGCATGCAAAGCATGAATAACTAGCTTGTAATTCATTTCATTTCCATTGGAAAATCAATCTGTGAATCAGATGTTTGAGAAATATTATACACAATAGTGTTATAATCGCCTAATTAAGTGAATCCGAGCATGCAAAGCATGAATAACTAGCTTGTAATTAAGAATTAATTTTTGATGATTAAAATATGCCATAACGGAAGAGATTTATTTCAATAATTTGCTTGCACGCAGGGGTCTTTAGCAGTGGGAGAAAACCAGAGGTCATGGAGAAAATCTACAAGGTTAGATAGGCGTCCCTACTGCTTGTCACGTACAAGCAGGGAATCGAAACCACCCAACCCCCAGGTTAATAAAGAGTTATTGTACAGACACCCTCCCCCCCACGGTAATCAGATACCTGTATGCACCTAAATAAGCATAAATATTGTTTCAAAATTAATGCCAAACTTATATTTTGGAACCAGAAGTGGTTCAGTGAGTAAGACGCTCACTATCTATCTGGGGGGTGATCCATGTATTAAACCGATCAAGGAAAAATTAATACTAAACATAGGTTGCCAGACAACGAAACATACATCTCAAGAGCTTCTACAAGATTTTTTAAAGAGGTCAAGGGCTATAACTCCGGCAGTAATTATCAAAAATAGTTGAAAATCAATAGGATTCTTCATCTCATGACCTTAAACAGTGCATATAAATTTAAGTCAATCAGATATTAACTTTAGCCTCTAGAATGTCCACAAGATATTTCAAAGAGATCTAGGGCCATTACCCTGGCAGTAACTATCGGAAATCGCTGCAAATCAATTGGGTTCTTCATCTCATGACCTTAAACACTGTGCATAAATTTAAAGTCAATCGGATATTAACTTTAGCCACAGGAGAGTCCACAAGCAATTGTGGACACAGGCCGAACGGGAACAACAACAATATACAACCACATTTCAATGTGGGCGTGTAAAAACAAGGTCATTTGGAGACCAACACAAAGTTATTTTAATTTTTGACCATGTGTGTATGATGGATTTACCTACTGAGTCACATACCTCAAATGTCAAAAGATTTATACATGCTTTACTTAAATAATTATAAGAGACTACCAGACCTGTTACTCAAGTCTCCTTCCATAATTATAAGGGACATCCTATTATAAAACCTGTTACGCAAGCCTACTTCAATAATTACAGGAGACAAGCTATAATATAATATACAGTCAGACCTGAAACTCGATGTTCTACCTTTATTAGATCTCAATTTCTAGAATCCATTATTTAATTGCATGCCTAATTAATCTATGTAGCATGAAATAAAAACCTGTCTGGTCTAGTCTACAGACACAGAGGTCAAACCTGTCTACAGGCTATACTAACTAAATAAATCACAAATTTCTGGTATACTATAAAAAATTATAAATCTTAATTTATAAAATCGTATATTCTTATTTATTTTGAATTCAACATTGAAAACAGGCATATATGCCATACAGTGTGCCATGAGAGAAATTTGGACCGGACAGCAGTGCTGTGGTCTACACAATTATTTCAAATTCAAGGGTTCTTTTACGTGCACCTCAGTTTGCAATCCCAGCTGAACAACTAGACAGCTGTCCTGCACCACTGACCAGGAGAAAGCAAGTCGGAATCCTGAGGAGTTTTATCGACCCACATCGGGAGCATGCCAGCGTCTTACTCACACCGCCACCATACATGGCTCTCCAACATATTATATGCGGTTCTGTGCGAAAAACTAGAGAAAAGATTATGCCCGTAAGTATTTTTTTTCCGTTTGGTTTATTTTGTCCTATCTGACAGCGCAACTTTTAATAAAAAAAAATTTGTATGATTTATAGTTTTAGAGTAAAATGTAAAATATCTAAAAATCTTCTACATTGTGCATAACTACAGGCTACACTAAATTTCATTTGCTTGCATAGATAAACTACAGGAATAATGGGCACCAAATTTGTTTTTCGATTTCAACATCAGATAAAATATATTCATCAATACTTATACACTTACATCCACATCTGATTAAAATACAGATCTATATTTTGTTTCGTTTTTTTATACTTTCGATGGCCTATATTACATAAAGATCTGCCCGGTTGTAGTAAAAGGTCGCGTCAGAGGTATACGAACGGCTTTTGACCCTATGACGTCACACATTGATTAATCAATCTCCATTGGCATTTCTAGTGGTTTACCCACAGTTCCGTGCATGGCACGCCAAGAAGTCGCCGTAATAGACTGTTTCATTGGCTAATCACTCACGCTATCCAGAACACGGGTTATATAACAACTTTTCCAGATCCTAGTGTAGTACAGACAAATTAGAAACAAAATTTAAAACTATAAAAAATGAAATGAAATAGGAACTGCGTTTTAATCAGATTGACTTACATCCCCTCTTCCTAAATGCTTACCATATATCCCACAGCCTGGCTGACAATATACTCCCTCCCCCCCAGCCCCTACCTGTAACCTTGGTCTATAATGTATCTGTTATCAACGGATATCTAGTCTTTTTTATTATTATGAAAAAGGACGAGTGTGGTCGGATAGGAACATCCTATAGGGATAGGATGAGATATTGGGAAAGTGTAAAATGGGATAAGGATGGGTGAGATGGGATTTGGGATGGGTGGGATAGAACTGGATAGGCAAGGATGAGATTGGAAGCTGTGAGTCACGGAGGGATAGGACTTGGTGGGGAAGTTCTGGGACAGGACGGGATATTGGATGGCATTGGGAGGTTGTGATACAGAGTGGGATGGTAGTGGGATAGGATGTTGTGGGGAAGTTATGAGACAGAGACAAGATGGAGAGGGATTGGATGAGATGAGAAAGGAGATAGGGATGGGAGTGGGGTGGGAAAGTTGTCAGGCAGGATGTGATGGGAGTGGAATAAGAAAGTCATGAGATGGGATTGGCTGGTGTGGTGTGGGGTGGTGTGGAGAAGCTGTGAGACAGGGTAGGATGGGATAAAGGAGTTGTGAGATAGGATGGGATTGTGTGGGGTGGTGTGGGTAAGTTGTAAGACATAGGATGGGAGGGGGAAATTGTGATATTGTATGGGTGTAGAATGGAATGAGAGAGTTATGAGAATATGATTGTATGTACTGACCTGATACTGCAAGGTATCTTTTCTACAAGGATAATGTTTACTCTGAACATCACCATTATATGTTGGTCTCTGCAAATACAATATATACATTCATGGAACAACCTGTCTAGAAATTTATTTTGTTTTAACTAGTGTATTCCTGACGCGACCCTGGTTACTTTTCAGCCTTGTTTAATATCTATGAACTGTTTACACACGGTGGCGCCAAAGTCTCAATGAGTAAGACGCTGGATTGTGAAACAGGTGTTGGCTGAGAAAGTTCCTCAGGATTTTCTGGTGTGGTTTCCCCTTTTCAGTGGTACAGGACTGAGGACCTGGAAGGGAAGGGAACAGTATCTGTAAAGATAGTAGAGTTGGTTGGGTTGGAGTTATAGTCAAATACCATTACAATACTTTGCTATCGTCAATATGCCCTGGAACAGTTTCTTTGCTGGAACACTCGGCGCTATACAAATTATTTAGTTTTATTTAAAATATGCTTCTACTGTTTGTAATTCTATGAAACATGCTATCTCTATAAAGGTAATATTCTCTATCTATAAATATATGTCCATACTTACAACATGCGGGGAAGCATCGAAACTAATTCCATTACCACTTTCATCCGTCTGGCAGTCGTAAATTTATAAAACAATATAAAAATATCAACAAGCCCATGCCTCAATACACAACAAACATAAATAACACTAAATTTGTACCACATTACACTGGATGAGGGAAGAGAAACACACACAAAGTTAATGTCCACTCGACACAAACCAGGTCAGGAGAAAACCCAGAAGGTTGACTCGACTCCTTTATTATGTACCAGACAGACCTTCCTTAAGAGAGAGACAGAGAGAGTCAGTCATTTTGGGTCTAACAGATGGCATAATTACATTTCAATAATTCGCTAGAACAGTGGAAGGTAATTGGAGAAGCCAGAGAAAACACCGGCTACCACACAAGCTTGTCACTTGGGATTGGAAATCAATGACAGATCTTAAAGACGATTTGGACTTCCGAAAAAGCGTGATAGTATCTGACAATTATTTCGACAGTGTAATATGGTTAAAAACTAAAATATTAACATGCTCTATATATGAGGGGTAGACAACCTTTGGTAGATCTTACAGATGGAACATAAAATATTGGCCACCCCTAAACTATATGATCATCTTGCTAACTATTTGTGGTTCAGTTTGAATGATTAATGCTGAGACATCATATCCAATCACCCAGCAGATACCAGGCCCAATCACTCAGCTCAATCACTCATTAGGCACCCATTTCAATCAGCAGGCACCCAAGACAATCATCCAACACAATCAACCCACAACCATCCAGCACAATCACTCAACAGAGATATCCAAAACAATCAACCAACTGAGAAAATATCAAAAACAATCACCCACCAGGAATGCCCAACACAATCACCCACCAGAGACACCCAACATCATCACCCACCAGGAACACCCAATACAATCACCCACCAAGAACACACAATACAATCACCCACCAGGTAACCTAATACAAGCATCCACCAGAGACATCCAACACAACCACCCACCACAACACCCATCACAATCATCTAATACTAATGATTCATACTGAACCACAAGAGATACTAGAAACAACTAATGGACACAGCTATATGCCAAGATGCTAGATGATATATCAAATATTTGGAATAAATGAAGACAAATTATACATTCCAAATAAAACTGAACTATAACTCTTCAAAACAAGAGAATGCTTAGTTTTTAAATTCTACAAAAGAAAATTATTTTTAGACCCTATAGCGACAAAACGGTACGGATGGAAACCAAGGCCCTTGTGTAAAACACATTAAATCAATGTGTAACTACAACATAGGTATAGTTAATCGATAATGAAAATTAACGTTTCAGGGAAGCGCTTAATCTATCCAAAGTGCATGCTCTAGGCGCAATAATAAGTCAATGTCTACTGTCTAGATTTAAAGCATTCCTTATATAGACTTGATGCCCTTATATAGATGTGATGCCCTTATATGGACTTGAAGACCTTATATTAGACATGTATCAATGAACAGATTCTCACCTTAAATATATAATTATCTGATGGTTCCACAGTTCGACGAGACTAGGGGAAAAAAAAAAAATTTATACAACGAAAGAAAGTTCTATACAATTTTATACAACGAAATAAATGTTTAAACTTGGTCAATATTTTTGTTATTTTTCAATATAAATTAATTTAAAGAACGAGAGAAATAGGTTTTAATGTCCACTCGACGCAAACTCGGTAATTTCAGGACCAACATATGGTTAAGTTTTGTTTCAATAATTCGCTTTAGTAGTGGGTGGAAACCAGAGGACCTGGAGAAAACACACGAGGTTGGAGTGGCGAACCTACTCCTTGTCACTTACAAGTAGGGAATCACTACTTGATAGAATGACAGACCTTATGATTTAAAGTGCATGTATTAAAACATCCAGCCTCTCTAATCTAGTGAAGTTGCCTTATTTATCTATTAGCTTTTGTTTACTTAGCCGAAAATTTTTCCTGGACTTCTAAATAAATAATGAATTTGGAGAGAGCGCTTGTTCCAGTAAACTGTTCAATAGTGCTAGTTATAGCTTGAAAATTTTGTCTTTGGTCGTGACTTAAAAGAGTTCATTGTTTCCGCTTCTAAATAATAAAAAAAGAAAACAAAATAGCAATTAATATTGTATTGTCTTTAACTGTAACTTAGAAAAGTCCATTGTTTCTATAGCTTTTTATTAATAAATTAAACATGCATACTGAATAATAAATTAAATTAAGAAAAAAAATATATGATCTCTGTACCACATGGTTCATAAAACAACTTGATTCCACTACATAAACCACAACCAACAATCTTTATTTACAAAATTCTGTATTTATATTCACTAATAGGAGAATGTTACTGGCTTAATGTTCAGGAGGGTGGGGGTAAGGGTCCAGTCACCAGTGGGGTGCTTATCCAAAATGTCCAAAACTGAATGGTCAGAAAATGTTATTTTTGAAGCACATAAATGATAAGATTATCACCAGTATTTTTCACAATTTGGGGACTAAAATAGCCATCAATCATCTTATTCAAATTAGATCGGCTGGCCATCACCATCACCATCACTTGTTTTCACATTGTTGATTTTTTAACAGGTCGAAATGTGGCTGCAGTCTCGTAAATAATAATCTACCTCTGGCAGCAACGTTGCTACACCACCCAATCCCTTAATTTCTTTCTATGCATCACAGTTTTTAATGGTGAAAAATGTAATTACAGAATTTTTAAATATAAGTCGGAGTGCTAGCAGGATTATGTATTTTATCATCCACTGGCAGAGACATAGACTATAAGAGGAGAGAGGTCACTATGCCTGTTCCTCAATCCCTTTCAATTTTTGAATAAAATATTATTTAATAAAAACAACAAACAAAACAATGATTCTAATTCTAAGGTTGCTAATTTTATCTAATCTATCTAATTCTATCTAACAAACTATCGCATGAAGCTGTTTCATTCAGCAAAATAATATCTGTCCGAGCTGAGTCCAAAATTTCATCGAATGAATCCGTTCGATCAGTTAAATCAACTCTCCCTGGTGTCATCTCTGTCAATGATAGTATTGGCCAAGCAAATATTTACTGCCGATCAATTTCCTTCATATCATTACATAATAAAAAAAATAAATAATCAGCAGTAAATATTCGCTTGGCCAATACTATTGGGGCGAGTTCTTTTTGCTTCTGCAAATTAAATTCTAAAACATTTTTTTTGAAATTATTAAGAAACAAAAAATATTTTCTATTTAGTAAAAATGGTTACATAAAAACTGCGTAAAATGAGTAAAAGGCACCATTTCTGCCCCGACTAGTTTGTATTAATGCATGTATCACTGTAACCTGGGTATCATTTAATCTTGTGTATTTAGCATCAGGAAATTACACGCTTATAAATTGGACACTCATTATCAAAATTAAAAGGTCAGATTTAAATTGAACACAACTACAAATTTTTGGTGATTTTAAATGATTTCTATGAATTTTCAAACAGAGTTTTGATATTGAACGAATATTAAAAAAAATTAATGCTAAATACGCCAGATTAAATGATAGTTGTAACGTCACACGCAGATCTATATTGAACATGAACTTAAAGCTCAGTCATCTTGTACTGAGCTAAAAGACAAACATTTATATTACCGCAGTAAAACAGTTTGTTATGAAGCTAAAAATATAGAGCCATCCTACCTCCTAAATAGATAAAGAAATGAAATGAAATGGGGTTTAACGTCATACTTTTCTGGGCTAATGAAGACGGGCGTATACTATTGCAGTGTGCTATGAGGGCTTACTCTTATATTGAATTTCTACTGTCAACAGTTCTTATAGGTTTGTATACACATGACCTTGTTTTTGTCCCATCCGAATGACTTAGACAGTTGTGTTCTTGTCTGGTCCTCTGTGTCCTGCAGTACTGACAAGGGAAACCATGCCGGAAAAAATAGAATAGAAGATGCAGCCTAAATGTAAATGAATGTGGAACCTATAGCTACATATTGCTATGAATGTATTTTGATTTAAGGGAATATTTAATGGGGTTTGGGTATGGTAAATTATGTTTCAATGCACAACAAAATCAAATACACTAATAAAATAAAAACTGTAAGCAGCACTTATAAAATTCTTTCTATAGGCCAAACTAATTTAATTACCAGTTCTCCGAGGGCTTGATAAATAAATAGCCACTTGCATCACATGAAAGATGTTTTGTTTAAAATTTTAAAACTTAAAATTTGGAACCGAAAGTACTTTTGGTGTTTAAAGTAGTCTTTCTCCTGAGCAAACATTTTAACAAGTTTTCCTAGAGAACAGAAAATTAAATTGGTTTGGTCTTAAATTAAAATGGCTAGACCTCTTTGATTCAGAACAAAAATAAAAATTTTGTTTTCATTTAATTTTATGTGTTGATTTCTTTTTATGGAATGATAAAATGTCTCCATAGAAAATTGAGTGTTTATAGATAACAACATTGTTAAGATAATTATAACCCATCTTGTGGGCCAAAGTGGGCCTACACCCAAAATACCTATAGGCTCGGCAGGCTAAAATTTACGGCCTCACGATCTAGGATTTACCTCTACACTTCTCAAACTGAAGCCAAGGGCCTTATGTGAAGATATATAATATTTTTAACACTGTCATAACCCTTGGGAGCCACAATGGCTCAGTGGGTAGGGAGTTGGCTCGATAACCTGGAGGTCCCGTGTTCAATCCCTGCGTCGGCCGAGAAAGTTACTTAACGATTTTCCAGCGCAGTTCCCACTTAGCAAGGGACAGTGTATACTTGTTCACATGGGACGAAAAAACGAGGTTCCGTGTACACATTGGTGGGCAAGTAAAAGAACCCATGACAGTTAGAATTCAAAATAAGAGTAGGCCAGAGCACTGCTTTCTGGGCAAAATTTCCCAAATTGCACACTGCATGGCGTATCCACGTCTTCATTAGCCCAATAGGAGCAAAACAGTAGGATTTGAAACTCCATTTCATTTCATTCATTTCATGTCATAAGCCTTTCTTACACATACAGTAGTCTAAAACATTTGCCATCATCCTCGGCTTTGCTCAACTGTATTTAAAACATACTCCCATCTTCCTCTCTTCGTGAGATTGGGTGTTTGGGAGGGGCCTAAATCCGACACCGTTAATCCATCATTAATGGATAGAGGTGGGAACAAGTCGTGGGACCTCATGTTCGAGTCGCTGCACCTCGAGTTTGAGTCGAGTTGAAAGTCACCGACTTCAGCCGTGTCCTTAATCTTTACAAAGCCTGAGTCCTGTCATATTCCTGAAGCAATGGCCCCAGAAATCCCTCTCTGGCCTTTGCTGGATTGGCTTCTAATACCTGAGCTTTTGAGCGAGTGTGTCTATTCTTCCCATTCAATCAAATCTATCCCAAGTGCAGCAACATGACAGCCCTTCGTTTAATCTGGGGTCTTCCCTAAAATTTTGGACAGTGATTTAAGGTATTAAAAACGGTCAAAGTCTTGTTCGTCTCCATACAATTTTGTTTACATTGTGTCCATGTTGATAGCCTCATTTGTCACGCAATTAGTTTTTCTGCAATATTCGGCTATGCACTGGTTAATTGGGCATAATAAAATCATGAGCCATGACGTAACGTTATGTAAACATATTTGGTCCAATTGGGAGCTCTGTTTAAAGCGTAATGACATTGTTACGCAGTTAGCTATTGGTTGTTAATCAGACTATTGACCAGTCATAATTTGGAACAGAAATTAGCTTCCATTAAAGCAGTGTTTAGTGGGATTAGCTCTAAAAAAAACGAAACACTGCGGGCAGTATGGAGTCACCAGTTCATCAAATGAGTCAGAAATTCATGGTGAATAAGGTAAGTTAGAGTAAGGCATCCTCGCCGCAAGTCATCACAACTGCCGTGTTTGAGTCAAATCACAATAAATATTTCAAGTTGAGTCGCAAGTCGGGTCATTGATATGACTTAAGTCCGACTCAAGCTCCCACCGCTGCTAATAGAAATAACACATCCGTTCAACACAATTCAACACTTTATTTTGGTCTAAATTCTAAATCAAAGATGTTTAACTCGTTCAAGGTTATAACCAATAAAATAAATAGAAAACGACTTACCCGAATAGTTCCCTCAGATGTTTTACGGTTGGGTCCGCCGCTAGTCTGATTCCGATAAAAACAGCTACAAAAACATCGCTTAAAGCGACAGTAAAGATAGTAGATAGACTTGGGACTGATAAACAGATTGAAAGGTGGCGGCAGGGTTGAACCCTCGTCAAAATAACCAATCCACAGTTTTGAACGGGAAAACTTCCACTCCATATCGCAATGATTCTGCAAGTCAAACATAATCACAGAAAAAAACATGAACTCAATACTTTTGAGACTAACAAGAAGACTGCGTGCCTTGTATACAAAATAAACAAAACAAAACACAAATCTTGTTACATAATCTAATTTTTAATACTTCAGTATCCGACAACTTGGGGGACGAATGGATAACGTGTGCACGTCGGATCATAAGGTGTGGTTTCAATTTCCCACTTGTGCGTGAGGGTTGCCTATCAACCTCATGGGTTTTCTCCGGGACCTTCAGTTTTCTCCCACTTTTAAAGACCCCTGGGTTGTGACATAATGTAGCCACAATTGTCATTATACACTTTTCCATTAACACATTTAGAGATCTGGTTAATCCTGATTGATAACCAGTCATAACTTGGGACAGGAATAATTATTCACTCTAGCAATGTTTGCATGGGATTATAGGTCTAATCAAATGAAACACTACGAGAAGTATGCTTATCAAATTTTACCTCTATATCTTGAAAGGAACTGGACATCATGGCTATTAACATGTTTAACAGAACAATAATCGCCATTCCGTGATAAGCCATGAACATAAACTCTCCTATCATCATCGTAAAATTATGACCATCTTTAATTTCTATTTCTTTGGGCGGAGTCAAACTAAACATGGACCAAAATAAAGTCATGTAACTAGCACCTAACCTGAAAAAAATAGGATGAAATTGAATATGAAATGATATGGGATTAAGATCCTACTTTTCTGCAACAAATGGATTAATGAAGATGGGCATATGCCATACAGCGTTCTGTGAGCCGAAATTTTGTCCAGACAAAGGCACTACGTCTTACTCTTGTATGGAATTCCAACTGTGCAGGAATCTTTAACATGCACCCAATATCGTTACCTCAGTCAGAACCAGAACTATTGTGTCCTAAAAATTTTCAGTACCATCCAAAAGACTAGATGCTTGGTCTTGCTATGCTCTTGGTCCTGCACATCTCAAAAGGGGAAAAAGGACTGAAAAATTTTGAGGAACTTTCCCGTCCAATCCAGGATCTTGTTGTTTGTGAGCCAGTGTCATGCTCATTGAGACACCTGGGAAGTCTTGAAACTCAAACAAGAGCCATAACTCTGTCAGTAATTTTTGGAACACTGTGTATAAATTATTAACTTAAGCAATTCTGGACACCGGACGTATGGGCCGACGATTTCAATGTGGGTGTATAAAAAGAGAACCGACTGGGGAAAAAAAAGATAAAGAAAAACTTACGTAAAGAAAGAATCATTCTCATCCGTCTGTGTCGGTTTATAATAATAATACAACTGGTTTAATCCACACGCGAATGATGTCAACACCAGAAAAAATATAAACAAAAACTTAACAATGTCTATCAACATACAGCCGAGAGAAATCTGCAACGGTCCTAAATGCTGATTAGCTTGAAACAAAAATATAATACGGGCGAAACTAAATATATTTGCTACGGCAAATAATCCTTCTGAGATCAACGTAGGGTCGTTAGTGGGCCAGTCCTTTCTTGCCATTTCACGGGGTCCATAAAGGCCAGATTCTATTTGTAGATAAGCAACGAATCGTAGGGAGAAGGTCGCTAGATATAACGACAACATGATGAAATCTAACCAGTTCCACCATTGTCTGATATAAGCCCGTAAACCTTCTTCCCACAACTGTTTACACTCACCCCAAATAAACCCTGAAAAATAAATACAAAATGTATGATAGTAAGTGAAGGAGGATCGCACTACACACAAATAAAAAGACAGAGAGAGAGAAAAATGGGGTTTAACATCCACTCGACACAAACTAGGTCATTTCGGGACTAATGTATGGTTTAATTATATTTCAATAATTTTGCTTCCACTATGCCCCACCCCAACTTCCCACTAGATCTAGTAGTGGATTTGGGGAATCAGTGACCTAAGCACCAAACAGCCATGACCCCAAAACCATGGTTCCATGTTAGGTCACAAAATACTTGATTTAAGATTAATGACATGATACTCACCAGTTACCCACAATACAATTAACCATTCTAATTCTGATGGAGCAGGTCCGCGGAACATCTCACGTCGGGGGGCGTTGCTGATGTCCGTTGAAGCACACACCAACAGAAACAGAAATACGCCAAATGATGCACTGTGATACAGGAACTTCATGAACGGACTGCGTAACAACTGACCTATTTTACTACGTGGGAATATCCAGTAATAAACAGACATGAAGGGCAGTAAGAGGATGAGGCCTGTGCAGATTAAGAATTTGGTAAAACCATTTCGTTTTCTCCATCCCGGTAATCCTTCATACCATATCGATGTTAGTAGTTGCTGGCAGTGAGGGTGAGCTACAAACTTAAATTGAACAAAGTATATAAATGAAATAGAACCAAATGGGCTTTATCATTTAAAATCACTGAAAATATATAAACATATCAGAATGATCGGATCATAGTAAGTCATTAAGGTGCTAACAAGTTTTCATAACAAAGGGGCATAACTATGGACATTCTTCTCTTCCATATAAATACGTTAATAATCGCAACCTACTATTTTTTCGAAAGACAAAGGGGCATAACACTAAACAAGATTAATGTGGCTTCTAGACTGTAGAAGTCTAGAGTACTACAGTAAGCGACACAGACTACCAACAGACATATAGGCATAGGCAAACAGGGGTGATAACAATATGATCAAAACAGTCAGCATCACCTCTAATCTTTCAGATAATCTTTTGATGGGCCTCTTTTTCATCCGATTTAATCCAAGCTGAGAGATTATCTACCTCCAATATTTTGTTATTTTTTTCTTGAATAAATTAATGTTAAAGTAGCTAAGTCTCTATATAACTCAATATCATCCAAAGTCTTCGACATTGAATACACGAATTATTTGTCAATTTAAATCAACATTGATGTTGTGATCTTACCGGGAAAAGATAGTCATCCGATGTCCAATATTTAAGACAAAATAAACATTTTACCATTGGTACATGAATCGTGTACCATAATGCGTTTCAGTGCCATTTGTAACAAGGACTCAAAGAACGAGGCCAGAAAAATATCCACAAGTCATGTCAAACAGTAACTTCGTATTCTTATTTGGAGAGCAAGTGCAATAACTACTATTGGTGTAGGCTGGAATAACCAGATGCTAGAGATTGCCAGTCAATTGAGACTTCTGACATATTTCGGCGAACATAACTGAGTAAAAACGGAAACAATTAAATGTAATTCAGCTTATATACATTCATATCACTTTATTATATGCATTTCGACCCATTTGGGTCAATTTCTAGGTCCCAAATATTAGCGATTTAGCTCCTTTAAATTAACAATTTGAGTTGTCTAGACATCGGCTATAAGCTGTGAAATTTATTTAGTTTTTTGAATAATGTAAATGAAACATGTAGGCTTTAATATAAAATATTAAAGAGGCAAGTCACATTTGTTTTATTCTACAAAGAGAATAGTATATAAGGACAAATAGATATCTAAGTACAATGTATGCTATGACTTTGCCATTAATATTCTATTAGCAATAAAATGACACACATAGAGAAATAATTATCATACGATGTACTTTATCAATTCACTAGAATATTTGTTAAAGATGTGTGAGAGAGACACTAGGCTGGGGAGAGATAGGTGGGAGGGAAAAAATTGGTGGGGGAGAGAGATGGGTGTGAGAGAAAATGGGTGTGGGAGGGAGAGAGAGAGAGAGAGAGAGAGAGATGTGTGGGAGAGGTGGGGGAGCAAGAGGGAAAGAGAGAGAGAGAGAGTGTGTGTGAAAGAGGAGGAGGAGATAGGAGAGAGAGAGATAGGTGTGACAGAGAAACCAGGTGGGCAACAGAGAAATGAGGTGTGGAAGAGAGATGTGTGAAGGGAAAAGGGGAGGAAGGGATAGCCCTTCAGACTTGATGAATGTTTGGGGGGGCAGAACCTTAATCCAAGAAAATACGCTATTCCAGCCCATGAATACAGCAACTTCAAAGTGATCTAATATTGCCTAACTTAGGTGGCTGACGCCGGAGAAAATTTTGACAATTTAACTGCAGCAAATGCATTTTTCTGCTATTCTGACCCGTGAGTTAAGCAACTTCAAAGTTGTCTAAACGTTTTTCAACCAAAATCCCTCTCTTTGGTGACCTGAATTACAGTCATCCAATCAGACTGTTGCATTTGCATTCACAAATATTTATTGATGCTCGAAAAATGTTGCACAAAGTAGAGTGGCTCCAGACAAAATGTTTTAATCCATAGTCAATTCATTACAAATTCATGGTATTCAACTAAAAGAAAATTAAAATTTGTGTTTCAGGCACTTTATTTTGCCAACTAGATGAAATAATAATTTTTGTTTTACTTTACCCAAACGCCCGAAAAAGGCAGATTGCTCAAAAGTTCGGGGAGAGCTGCCCTCCTCACCCCCTCACCCCCGGCCTGTATGCCTATGACGTCTATGGGGGAAGCAGGAGATTCTATCAGATACATTAAATAGAAGAGCTCCTCAAATCTTAACATTAAATAGAAGAGCTCCTCAAATCTTAACACAACAATGTCACTGTCACATCAATCAATGACCTTGTAAGCAGGCCGTGCAATCAGTAATTGGCTTCCATCTGTAGCCTCCAGTAATAACACAAGTCAAGTTGCCATATTAACTAGGTTCCAGGAACTAAACAACAATAACATATAGAATAGATAATAAATGAAATTAGATTTAATGTTCTACTTGCAGTCTGCACCCACCAGACTACTTTCATGGGAATTTCAAGAATTCTTTTACTTGCATGCCAATGTACAGGAATTTTTAATTCATAATCATCCGATTGACTAGATTCTGTTACTTGCCAGGCCTTTTATTCTTGACCACGGAACCTAAGATCTCAGGGTTAGTGAGGAAGTGCCTTACTCAGCAAACGACATTGACTCACAAATGCAAACAATATCATTTTTATAATAATAATTAAGAATTTTATAATGCTCTAAAATACACATCGAAGCACTGACTGTGCACCAAGCACACACAAAACACACATTATATGTATCACTGTGATTCAGGTACAATATCCTATCACAATTTAAGACCAGGTCAATATTTACCAAGAAAACAACAGGATAAATGAGTAATTGATATTTTTAGTCTTGTCGATGTTAAAAAAATAAAACTGTTTTATATCACTTTGTTGATGTGGATGCAAATAAGGACCAAAACAATTTAAGAGTGTTTGTGTATCGATGGATATTGCATGATGTGGATAATTAAGACCGATAGGTTATTTACTGAAGTAACAAAAAAAAAAAAAAAAACATAAAAAAGAATCGCGATTCATAGATTCAGTGTCTCACAATTCGTAAGAAGGTGAACCCGGTACAATGATTCGATGATAAATCGTGTCAGAACTAACAATAATGTCCTTATTAACGATAACAGGGAGCTGCTGTGGATCAGTGAGTAAGATGCTGGCTCAACAACAGGGTCTCCTAGGTTGTCAGAGGTGCATGATGGAGGGCATGGCAAAGAACAACAGTGTCTAGTCCTTTGGATGGGAGAAAAGCAAGGTCCTGTAAATACGTGGTGTAAAATAACCCTTGAAATATGGAATTAAAAATAAGAGAAGGCTGTAAAACCATTGTCCCGACAAAATTTCCCTCAACGTGTATGCCTAACTTCATTAGCCCAGTGGGTGTAGAAAAGTAGGACGCTAAACCCCATTTCATTTATTTGTAAAGATAAGTCTTTATGTTTGATTTAATTGAAGTTAAAGGAGGCAAGTCTCTAACTCAAGATCATTCATAGTCTTCGACATTGCAAACACAGCTTATTGGTCAGTTTTAATCAACATTGATGTTGTTATCTTACCGCAAAAAGATGGGCTTTGATGTCCAATATTTAAGACAAAATGAACATTTTAAAATTGGCACGCGAATCGTGTGCCTGAATGCCTTCGAGCGCCATCTGTGATGAAGTGACTCGATGAACGAGGCTAAACATATCCCACAAGAGAATACTACCGGTGTAGTTTGGAATAACCAGACGCCAAAGACTGTCATTCAATGAATCAATATAAATCAGTTTATATACATTCATATTACATTAATATATGCGCTGCGACCCATTTGTTTCTATTTCTAGGTGCAAGAGAATAAAGATTTAGCTACTTTAATGTTTCAACAGATTTTTTTTTGTTTTAGGGGCAAACAATTCCAATTACAGAAACACAATTTGAATTTACCTGTTTTTGTTCATATTTTAAAGCCAGTTTTAATCTTGATAATGTTAACTTGTCTCCATCTTGTTCTTCTTCATCTTCTGCGTCAGAATCGTTTGTTTTATTTAAAACAGCGATAACTTCCTCGCTACTTCGACACTGACCCAACAAATCACACGCATACTTCTTCACCTGATGCCCCAACTGGAGGTAGGAGTCTTTAAATTCGTTCTCTCGTAGTGCTAATTTTTCTAATTCCCATGATAATTTGAAAGCCGCTAAAACTGGATCTGGACTTGTCAGTGAGATCCAAGCCGGACTGGCTAAAGCACGATATGTGTTGATTCTCAGCAAGGAGTGCCGTAAACTGTCGGCATGCACCTGTGCCTGGCACCGTTTACACGAGCAGGATAACTGATGTGGCCTATCAATCGTGGCCCCGTGCAACAACAAAAGCTGTAAAATTTCAAACTGATTACAATGTGCCGCTAAAATAACAGGTGAAATATCTGGAGAGTAATCAAAACTTTCTTCGTCCATGTGTCGTGTTTTCGACCACTCCGTGCCTAACATATCCCGTTGAATTGTGGGATGTTCGATAATCATTTCAACAATCCTATAAACACCTTCGCGAATTGCGTACAGCAATGCATCACCGATACGCACACCATCCTCCTTTAATAATAACTCAACAATTTCGGTATTTTCGTTGTCGACGGCGATTTGAATGGCTGACCTACCCAGCATGTTAGTACAGTTTACATTTACGGGATTACTGCCCTGAAGTAATCGCATCATCGTGTGTTTATCTCCCTTTTCAGCAGCGTCTAAGAAAAGCCTCTCTTTAGGATCAATGCAGTTGGCATGTTTCATAGTATCTAATGGTATTGTTACAGCTCGGTTGGTAGTACGTGAAGCACGTTTAACGCCCCCACTGTTGCCGACCATCTTGCTGGGCAAACTGTTAGTTTGTGGCATAAAGAGTTATTCTCACAGGCGAACATAACTCTTATGACATCACAAACTCAACCAAACCAGAAAACTGAAAAAAGAGAAAAAAAAAAAAATTATTCATATGTATGCAAAAATATATATTTTCTGGTAGATTTCAGTATCTGCCCACTCAGCTGATTAAATGTCAAGGTCATCTCAGATTTATTTTTCAGTGGTTTTACATACCTGGTATCCACGGTGGGTCAGTAAGTAAGACGTTCCCCCTTGTCATTGGTGTAGGACGTTTAGTCATTTGCATGGGACTAAAAACCGAGTTCTCGTGTACACATCAGCGTGCACGTAAAAGACCCATTGGTAGTTGGAATTAGATATAAGAGCAGTTTTTGATTCAGTACATGTAGTCTTATAACCGTACAAGTTACAGTGGTTATATCTTATAATTAAAATCTTGAATATTTCAGATATAATACATTATTAATTTTACCAGCGGCTGCCAGGCTGGATACGCCCACATTTTCGAGAGATGGATAGAGAACAAGCTAACAAGAAAGTGATTTTTCCTACAATCAAGGACCATAATTCAGGAAATAACAATTCGATATGCGTGAATATCGAAAGGAACCGAGATCTTTGGGTTATAAACTTACATTTCAAGTTTCAACAAAATCGGATAAAAATTGTGACCTCTATAGGGTCCACAACCTTGATATACTTTACCCTATTTGAGAAAGAACGGCAGCCAATTTTGTCTGTCAATTTTGGGCCGAGTTTCACGAAATTCGAACTCAGTCGTCCTTAGGGTGTAACGGTGATATAATAAAACGTTTTTTTAAATCGGATAAAAATTATGACCTCTATAGGGTCTACAAGCTAAAAACGCGATTTTTCGTACAATCAGGGGCCATAATTCAGGAAGTTACGGTCCGATATGCGCGAATATCGAAAGGAACCAAGATCTTTGGGTTATAAACTTACATTTCAAGTTTCAACAAAATCGGATAAAAATTGTGACCACAACCTTGATATACCGTACTTTTACGCTATTTGAGAACGAACGGCGGCCATTTTGTCTGTCAATTTTGGACCGATTTTCACGAAATTCGAACTCAGCCATCCTTACGGTGTAACGGTGATATAATAATACGTTTTTTTAAATCGGATAAAAATTATGACCTCTATAGGGTCCACAAGCTAAAAACGCGATTTTTGGTACAATCAGGGGCCATAATTCAGGAAGTTACGGTCCGATATGCGCGAATATCGAAAGGAACCGAGATCTTTGGATTATCAACTTAGATTTCAAGTTTCAACAAAATCGGATAAAAATTGTGACCTCTATTGTGTCCACAACATTGATATACCATATTTTTACGCTACTTGAGAACGAACGACGGCCATTTTGTCTGTCAATTGTGGGCCGATTTTCACGAAATTCGAACTCAGCCGTCCTTAGGGTGTAACTTTGATATAATAATACGTTTTTTTAAATCGGATAAAAATTATGACCTCTATAGGGTCTACAAGCTAAAAACGCGATTTTTCGTACAATCAGGGGCCATAATTCAGGAAGTTACGGTCCGATATGCGCGAATATCGAAAGGAACCAAGATCTTTGGGTTATAAACTTACATTTCAAGTTTCAACAAAATCGGATAAAAATTGTGACCTCTTTAGGGTCCACAACCTTGATATACCATATTTTTACGCTATTTGAGAACGAACGGTGGCCGTTTTGTCTGTCAATTTTGGGCCGATTTTCACGAAATTCGAACTCGGCCATCCTTAGGGTTTAACGGTGACATAATAATACGTTTTTTTAAAACGGATAAAAATTATGACCTCTATAGGGTCCACAAGCTAAAAACGTGATTTTTTGTACAAACAGGGGCCATAATCCACGAAGTTTTGATCCGATACATGCCAATATCGAAAGGAACCGAGATCTTTTGGAGATAAACCTATATTTCAAGTTTCCTCAAAATCGGATAAGAATTGTGACCTGTAGAGTGTCCACAAACAAATTGTGGACGTCCGGACAGGGGCGACGGCATAATACGTCCACATGAAAATGTGGGCGGATAAAAAGTGAAAGGATTCAAACTGAATTCATTTAAACTGTCCGGACAGTTGTGTGTGTGCTATTAAAAGATGACTAGCCAAGGATTAAATGTTATGTAATGTTAATGGCATGTTAATTTATCCTAATCCCTTATTGTTTATAAAAATTTTATAGATAGAAAGTAACTGCCAATGTGGCCTGTCTCGTGAACATATCAATCGTATGATTAATCTATTAATCGTTTTATCTACCAGTGTTTTATTTCTGAAATTGTACATTATTACATCAATCCTTGTTTATGTCAACACTTGATATCACCAAGTGATTAGCAGTAATTCCATATAAATTGTTCTTGATATACGACGGGGGAGAGAGAGAAATGGGGTTTAACGTCCACTCGACACAAACTAGGTCATTTCGGGACTATCATATGGCTTTTAATTTTATTTCAATAATTTTGCGTGCGCGTTGGGGTCTTTAGCAGTGGGAGGAAACCTGAGGACCCGGAGAAAACCCACGAGGTTGGACAGGCGACCCTACTCCTTGTCACGTACAACCGGGGATTCGAAACCACGCCAGTCGACTCAATGACAGACTTTATGATACAGCGCGCTCACGCTAACCATTCAGCCATCCAACCCCCCTGATATACGACGGTCTTTCAGGTCTATCCGACTTAGCAGCATAATATACCAGTCGGTTATCCGCAGTTACGTAAGCGTATTTAGATAATAATTATTATAAGTTTCCAGTATTAAAAACTTAAAGAACCATTCCAGACTATTGTAATATCTGAAGGACCACTCAGTCACACTTTAATTGTTGCCTTAAACCCAAGAAATTTCTTATTAGCAAATAACACAAGTACTAATATAAAAGGTTGATATATATGTGTACAAAGTGTCATGAAGATATCTAGAACAGTTTATGAGATTTGCTCCTGAATAAAAATTGCATACTAAAAACTAAGTCAAATTTGTTTCCATGGAAACAAAAATAATTAAACCAGAGGAAATTTCAGATAAGCAAAATGAACGACTTAAAAGTAGGTATAGTGTTTGAGAGGAAAGGAATGGATGAAGTTTAACATCTTATCAATACAATATTTTAAATATTGTTGTTTAATGATGAAATATAACTTATCTTGAAACATCAGCAAACCAAAACTTGAGTCTAAAATAGCAACATTTACTAAATTAACTCTGTTGATCTATTGGAAGTGGTTGATTCTAAGCAAGGATTAAACTGTGCAAAATTTGATATTTTAGCGAAAAATGCAAATAACACACCCCGACTTTAAACAACAAGAATTATAGGCAGGTATAACATATAGATTATAACGGTTTTACCCGACTGATTGATCAGTTATATTACAGAGGATTATAAAAGTGTTATCAACAAGCCATCATTAACAAGTCATATACACTAACACTATGATCATTTACTATTTTATATAACTACTAAACAGAAATGATAATGTCATCTGCGGTGCAAGATTTAGATAAAGAAAAAGAGGCCATAGGCTATATCCAGGTTAACATGTAGATATTTTTATACATATGTATAAATTTTGAACTGCCGAGGGATCTTTTGTGCACACTTCATATCTATATTCTTAACAAGATAACATTTATCCTGATTTGGTCACAAAAATTCCTGTCCAAAAGTCAAACTTGGAAAGATTCCATAGCCTGTTTACATTACCAACCCTGCTTAATGTTTCATTCAGAAAAATGTTCACAATAGGAAAACTTTTTGTGGATTGCTTGGACAACTTAGCTGCTGTGGGGATATGCTTCGTTGCTTGGCAACTTAGGTTTATATAATATTTTGTTAAAAGCTTTTACTATAGAATAATGTATATTAGAATAACATACAGCTGATGGAAATCTGTGTTAAGCAGGGATTATCTGACCACTTAATTACTAATGGAGAGAAAGAGAGAGAGAGGGGGGGGGGGGTACCATGTGATTCAATTTTATTTCAATAATCCACTTCCACATAGGGGTCTGTAGCAGTGGTTAGGCTGGTTATCCTATTCCTTGTGGCATAAAGTGGGGATTGAAGCATCGCAAATCAACTCAATAACAGACCTTATCATCTAAAGTAGACCTGTTAAACCATTCAATTGTCCAACCCCCAAAATACTAGATATACTAGTAAGTCACTCTCCGGACAAAACTTCTCTTATAGCACACTATATGGGATATGATACCAAATATTTAAGAAACAGTGAACAATGTTAAAACCAGTACACATACATTTTAGGTTACAAATACGTAATAGAGAAATGGGGGTTAATGCAAGTTAGAAAGAGGTTTGGGATTCAATCATAAGATCACAGAGCAAAATAATTAATTACCATTTCACAATAACTTTACTTGAACTATACTGTACAGACACCCAATTACAGCTGAGTTGACTGTGGCACCCAATTACACCTAGGTTGACTGTGGCACCCAATTACAGCTAGGTTGACTGAGGCACCCAATTACAGCTAGAATGACTGAGGCACCCAATTACAGCTAGGTGCAATTGACTGAGGCACTTAATTACAACCGGGTTGACTGAGACACCCAATTACACCTGGGTAGACTGAGGCACCCAATTACAGCTGAGTTGACTGAGGCACCCAATTATAACTGGGTTGAATGAGACACCCAATTACAGCCGGGTTGAATGAGACACTCAATTACAGCTGGGTTGACACTATTATAGCTGAGATACAGAGGGAGAAAATACACAAACTCCATCAGAATCAGGATTCAGCACACAATCATATGATTACCTATATTAATCCGAACTTTGCTAACCTTTACGAGTTCAAAAATTGCTAGGAATATCCACAATGATTATCTAACAAACATTAACTGATGATAGTTTATGGTAGATAAAAAAAAAATGTTCAGTCACATTGATCATCTATCAAATATTAACTAACGATAGTTTAATGTTGATAAAAATAATAAAAAACAAAAAATATGTTCAGTCACATTGATCATCCATCAAATATAACCCATCCCTGATGA